CAATCCGAACATTGTTTTTGCAAAAATAAAAACCAGGACCTAGCTTCACCTTGATTAGAAGTTTGCTCTCCAAGTGATTATTAAGTCTGAAATAGAGAAAAATCCCTTCAGGTTGAAATTCTGAACACTGCCATATCTAATGTATTTTCTTCTTAGAATTAAAGCATGAACAACTATTTATTTGCATATTATGTTACTTTTCCACAAATACCTAAGTCACCCAAAAACACATTATTTTGCTTATAATTAACAACTTTGCGCCTAAAAACAAAGCGACCCTATCATTTGATATTATGTTGTCATCAGAGTGTCTCATTAAAATTGTTAACAAAACTAGTTAATCTTGCTTACTTCTTAGGCGCTTGAAGCTTGGGTAACTATTTCCTGCGCAATGATTTTTCGTTCATTTGTGACCGAAAATGTAATTCCGAAAACATTCTGTTATAATCACTACAAATGGAAGCCATTTATTCAACATACTCGGCTAAGGACAGGTGCATCACCAGCTAATTTCATTATTAACCTAGCAAGAGAGATCGACAAAGACTTTTTTGTTTAATTTAAGGCATACTTATATGTCTTTATAGGGAAATTACTACGATCTTACCACAAGATGACCCAAATAAATAGTTGCTTATACCCTTTACCTATTAGTAAGTAGTAAATGCCTCATCGACCTAATATTGACTTCTAAACTACTTTCATCTTTTTCCCCGCGTTGGGAAAAGGGCAAACGCTTGGAAGTAAATATACCCTTTTTTCAATTGGTCATTACCCCTTTTTAATCTATTTTGTGGTCGAACCAATGTAATTATAACTTAAATGTTTGTTTTGCAGCTAATTTTTTCCATCCGGACAAGTAAATCGGCCGCCTAGATCATGCAACTTAGACCTTCTCTTTTGGAGCTATGTCTATCTGGATAAGAGATTGCGATTTAGAAATCAGAAATCAGCTTTACTCGAGTCATCCTTTAAATACCGCTCGAAATGCACGGACCTGTGATCGAAAGGTGGAACCCGCAACTGGAAAAAATATTTTTAAAAAAGATGCATATTTTGTATAATAGAAAAGATAACCCGACAGTTAGGTTGTTCTTATTCTTTTATGCTATTGAAAAAAGTACCCTTAAATGAATCGCTTTAAATATGAAGCAGTAATAGACATTTGGAAGCAAGCTTGGTTGTTTCGCAATGGCTTGACTTATTTGAAGATTAATAGTTTTATTCATAACATGCTGAATTTACTTCTGTCAACATATTATGAACATTTCGGGTAGATTGGATCCCATATCAATACGTACTAAGTATAGTATGAATCAAGAGGTATTGTGATTCCAAGTTGTAAGGCTTCAAGTCTATGTTATCGGTACCATGAGGAATCTCTGACTTTCGATTCACTGATAGTCCCTAACCACCAATTAACTGAGCCGCCCCTCACCTATTAAGATGCCTTGAAAAAACCTAGGCCCTCCGGGTATCTATTATCCGGCTACTTCACACAACACCATCTGGAAGCCATTGAGTGAACAATGTCCATTAATTTCCCTCCGAAAAAATAAGCGTTACCTAACTGTGTCAACCCAGTGGTCGTATTGAGGATTTACGGCTGGTGTGCCGGCCAAAAATGTCATCAATCGCCCTAATCAACCCGTTCGCTTGATCACTTCGGTTGGGTATGGAGATGTTATCCGACACGGGCTCAGTGGCGTACATAACGTCGCCCTGTCCGATTAGGAATCTCTGACACCGATGTCTGTTGACATTAGCCTCTTTCATATTTTCGATTTGTGTCAAACGACAACGAAAAACTTTGTTTTATTAGAAAACAAGATTTTTTGAGCAAAAAGGACCCCTTTCCAAAGTATCCTCGAAGAAATCCTCCTAGAAATTTTTGAAAAATTTAATGCAGATTTTGCGAAAAAAGTTTATCGTGTAACTAAAAAAATGCTTCTCAGTTTTTGCAAAATCTTTTTGTAAAAAAAAACAATTTTGCCGTATTATTCTTGTAAATTTTCCTTTTGATGGAAGGTATTAAGGTAATTCCACATTAAGCGCTTCTTTTTAACTTACAATTTCTTGGTTTATATTTAAAACGGAACTTTGATGAGTTTATGGCTACGTTATTCATACAACATTTTTTTGTGGACTATAAATGAAACTACAATTGTGAGAGAAAACTGCTAATGAAACTACGACAAATAATAGGACGAGAAACATTTCTCTGATATGAGCTAACTAGACTTACTAACATTATGAGACCTTGATAAAGCATGTTAATAATAATCATAATTAATGCCGTTCGTAATAATACAGCAAACAAATCCAAACATGCATAAATGGATCAAATGGCGTCAAGTAGATTGGCTCTACACCTCCTACGCCTTCGTTTCAGGGTTGAAAGAAAAGGGATGAGTCAAGTCGTTTCAAAAGGCAGAATCGAATCGTGATTAGGTAGGTTCTCATAGGTACGATGAATCTTCGACCTGTACATATCAAAATACTTATAATATAACTTATTGTCAACTTAAAATTATTCATGAAGTTTAAAGCAATAATATGACAAATATCAGAAACCACAGCAACGCTACTAAGATATTATCCAAAGCAACTTGATTATTATGTTATAAAAATGTTTTATCATCATGATACAAATAATGCACTGGAACTTTTAAAAACAAATATCTCGAAAACAATTAGCTTCAGACACTTCAACAGGTAAACCTTTTTGTTGTGGAAATACGAGAAAATAAGATTTTTCGGTCAGGGTAGCACAAAAAAATTATGATAAGGTATTTACCGAAATAGTGCTGTGAGTGGCGCACTCTAGAATCTTGGCCATAAAAAATAACGGATTCTTGTTTCCCATACTATGTTAGAAAACCTCCCTATGCCTAGTTTTATGCCCAAATTTGAAGTACTTCTCAGGCGATAAGGAATAGAAGATAAAATTGTATCTTTGACACCCTGTATCTGAACTATCAACTTTTGGACTGAGGTATGTTTAGGTAAATTCACATACATATATTGGTCTTTAGTATATCCAGTTTCGAGATTTCCCAACCTTTCGCAGACACGCTGTATACATGTATGCAAAAATCATATTCCGTGGCAGATGTAGGAAAAACGTGACTTATTATGTCTAACAGGTGTATGATATTACCGGGATCAGAACATCTTAGTAATAGAAGGTATCTCACTCCCGCCAAACATGCAACAATTTACAACCATTTACAGCTTGCAACATACAATACTCAACCTTTCCAATTAATGGCTGGAAGTAAGCAGGAATCTCTTAAAGGTTTAACGCTATGTTCCAGCGGTTTTTATTTTTTGTCCGTAGTTCCGCCGCCACTGAATTTTCAAGTCTGCCACTACCTAAACGATAGAAATATTGAACTCCATATAATACTCGAACTTCAGTTCACAAGTCTTCTGTTGCTGAAAATATCTCCATCGCACAGGTCCGTATTTCTCATTTATTTCGGTGTGTCAATCCGTGACTGTTGAATATCAATGCGTAATAAGTGCTGAGTGAACTACTTAACGAAATATTCAGAGAACCATCATATACCAAGCAACACAAATTAAGCGTTTGGCGAAATGGGCGGGTACATTTAAGAATCATAAAGTTTAGAAACAGATATGTAGAGATATAAAAACAATTAAGTCAAATATTTACAAAAGCATCGCTAAAGTGGTACGTACGTTGCTACCTATTGCGCTTGCCACAGTTGGCGTGGCCTCCATGACCATGCAGCGTCGCAGCATTGCACTCTTTACGCAAGACCAACTATCTCCAGTTATACATCGGACATTTGTCATTTAATTTCCACGTTGTTACCTAGATCAGAAGCTTCCTAATGATAGAACGTATTTAACTGACACTAAGGACGTCTACATTCACAATCCTCAAACAACTACAAAAATTTATTTGAAAACCATCAGAGGCCTCTGAAACGTCATAAAACCAAGTTTGAGCACAAAACTATTTTTTATGTTTTCAAAAACTACACGCTTTTTCGACCTTTGTTCGGTGTGAAATTTTCATCACAATCCGACCAGTAATTCTGATGTTATAGAGGGTTGAGGGATTAGCGGACAGAAAGACATACAGCCAGACAGACTGACCGAAGGAAATGAGTGACATGTTTTTTCCTGATGAATACGTCATATTACAATAAATTGCCTGGCCCAATGGTGTAGTAAGTAAAAATATACGGAATCGATTTGGGAAAGCTACTTATTTCCTAACAGACCTCTCGTTCTCGCTCTCGAAGAAGTTAGGCTTATATAATATATTACCACCATCTCCCACATTTCAAAACTTCAATTTCAACTAGTGTACAGGTTATTCGCTTGTATTCTCATTCTTTAGTAGTAGTAAGACGCTTCGTTTCCTTAGAAATAACCCACGTATTTTCCAATTTCAGCTCAGAAGCTTCTTTCAAATAAATAAATATTCTGCCTTTATCCTGGGTAGCTTAATGTTCGATCTGACTCAATAATTTCCTTCCTTGTATTGATAGTCTTTTGCTTAAAATTCTTTCTCTTAATAAGGTAAACGTTCCAATTATCGTCACCTTTAGCACCTTACATACCCTGGGCATCATTCTAATATATTTGATAAATAAAATACCTATATCATCTTATATTCTAATTGTCAATTTGGCCAATAAAAGAGTTATCATATCACATAGTAATATTTATTTTGACCTAAAGAAAACACATCATATTTACAAAACTAATTAAATAAGCAGTGTGCTATGCCCGCATTATCGGCATCCTAAAAAATAGACGTGTTCCAGTTTTCGGCACATATAAGATCCTATTGTTGTCACAATGTTGGATAAGTAACCCAAAATATATTAACTAAGTAGATATCTAAGTAGTCACTAATAAAATATGTTAACATTAATTTCAAAATTTTAAACTTATATTGAAATAATAAAAATGTACTTTCTAAAAACTAAACGTGAAATTAATCGTTATTAATCTGTTGGTCACTGACAAAAAGGACATTGAAATTCTTCTGTATCAGCTTCTGTTAAACCAAGACAAAACTCATGGTAGTATTTTAGACAGGAATAACAAAGGCGCATGTCCAGCTGATCGTCAGTCTCGCACAATAAGCAATACCAAGATTCCTCTGAAGGTTTTGATATTGAAGGTTCAGTAGTTACAGGTCCATTGCCTGCATTTGTAGAAAATAATTTTTTAGTAACATTCTTTAATTTAGTTGTCGCCCTGCGATTAGAAATTCTCCTTTTAGAAACGTTTTGTGCAGCAGTAATTTTCAATTTCTTCTTTTTGTTTTCCAATTCTTTCTTTTGGTCACGTTTGTTCTTTCTTTCTATTTTCAGTTGTTCTTCTTGTTTTTTCTTTTCTTCTTTTTTTTGATAGTATTGTTGCCACTGAGATGAAGTTGCTACAGCAGGTACTTTATTCTTCATTAGTTTGTGCTTAGCAATATTTTCCTTAGGTGTAGGTCAAAATAAAGTTTGTTTGAATGGAGTCGGAATAGATTCATCTAAAACATTTTGTTGTAAAGGCGACAACTCTTTCTGAATTCGAATTTGGTTCGCCTGTAGAATCCGATTCAATTTTAGGTGTCGGTGTCGTTTTAATTTGAGTAGTTCCCATTTGTTGAAAGTTTAGTTCCAAAAGTGAAGAATGCTGCTCTAAAGAGTTTTCTACAGGTACATCATGTTGTGCTTTGCTGGGTGTATTTGAAATTATTATGGGAATATCTTCAGCAATGCCTATCGAAAGGGATAAATTTGTACAGTCAATAATTCCTGTAACATCAATTTCATTGTTATTGTTTGCCTTCTCAGCAAATGCGCCTTTGACATTTGAGCCTGCCTGAAATTCAATATCTACTTTTAATTGATCATTTATCAATTTATTATTTTCATTGATTTCTGTGGCATCTATTTCGTTGTGAATTTCTACGTCTGTAAATGTATCTTCCATAATAAAGTCTTCTTGAATTTCATTTTCACTTTGTACTAGATCAGAAACCTTGATTGCATTGGTGTTGCGATTCACTGTTTTGATCTTCATTTTCTTCCAGAGTGAAAACAGGCTAGTGTGGACCGGAAAGCAGAAATAATCTAAGAGTCTCTTTTGAGATGTATTGCTCTACACATCTTAGGACTGCTTGTGCTTCTTTAGGCTGTTCATGGTTCTCTTGTTGTTTTTGTGCTGCGATTTCCGTTTTAAAATATTTTGAAAATTTTATATTATCAACATTAAAGGGAACAAATCCGCAAGTCCTGAAGCCATTCTTAATTATATCGGGAATATTTGTCATTTTTTGAAAAGTGCATTCCAAGATGGGCGCAAAGAAGTCTTTGGTAATCTTCTGCCCTTGGTACTCCATTCTCCATCGGTGCACGCTCTTTTTCCATTCAAGCTTTAATGATCGAAATACGGCCACATCTAGAGGTTTTAAAATATGTGTAGCATTTGGGCAAAGAGCTATAAGGATAATATCATTTTTATTACAAAATTTGCTGAGGGCCATAGATAGGCGGGATGTATGTCCATCCAAAAACAATATAACCGGAACCTGAACTTTTTGAGCAACTAACCAAGGGTGAAATATATTAGCGATGTACTCGAAAAAGATTTCACCAGTCATCCACCCATTTTCAGACTTTCCGATACCCCAGTTTCCTGGAACTTTTTCGACAACGGAGTTGGGAATTCTTTTGTAATTATAAACGATCATTGGCGGTAAAATTTGACCAGAGGCACTACACGTATCCAAAGTCGTGACATTCCTTCTCATTATTGCTCACAAATGAGTAAACTGTTCTATCCCCCTTTTTAACTAAAACTTTGTCTCCTTTGGGTGTGAGGAAAAAAGCCGTTTCATCACAATTGAATACACAACCGGAATCAAAAGTTATGTTAAGATTGTTTGTGTTTTCTACTTCTATAAACCACTGACGAATGCGGTTTTCTGTTAGGCTGTTTCTAGCACAAGTGAGGTTTTGGGAAATCCTTGAAGCCAGTTCTGGGTGCCTTTTTAAAAATAATTCGTACCATTTCCGTCCAGGCCTGCCATCTGCGAAATTATTAGGCCTATCCAATTCTTTAAGCAAGAGCTGAACACTATCTAACAACTGTGTTTTTGTTGGTGGAAATCCATATGCTGCAATCCGAAATAACCATTCCACCAGTAAATTTTCTTCTTCCCTGGTTAGTATGGTCCCTGGTCCACATTTCTTGTCTAAAAGTGTTCTTCCTTTTACTTTGTCCTGTAGGGTCGATCTGGGTACGTTGTGTAACTTGCTAGCTGCTTTAAATGGCATTCCTGACTGAACAGCGTTAACAGCTTTATTTATATCTTCGGTAGAATATTGAAGTCGTTTAAGCTTGTCCATTGTGATGTAATTTTAATCTGAAAAAAAGAATCTCCAATTATCGACACCTTATGTTCATATTATCGGCACTTTTATTAAACCTCAAATTTAAGCTAATTCTAGTAGATATATAGAGTGCCGAAAATTGGTGTGACATCTCATCGATGTATGCTGCATATAATAACCAATCATTTTTCATGATAAATTAAGAGCTGAAGCTAAAATTGACCTAAATCCAGTCCAATACGTATAACCAATTATCGGCATATCTGCCGAAGATTAGATCATCAATTATTGTTTACGTACCCATTATCGGCACCCATAAAATACACAAAAAAACCCAAAGAAAAACAGTTTTTTACTAGCAAATAACAAAAATAATTATTCCTAAACATATAAAACTTAATCAAACATTTACACGAAACGTCTATCAACAATTACAACACGATAATGGCTTACCTGTTTCTTAACACTTGCAACAAGAAACACTTCAGACAAGAGTTTGGCGCGAACTGACCACTATATTTTTGACTATGGTTATTACCGAAATTGGCCGACAGTCATTCGGTTCTGCAGAGGCGTAGACAAAGGTTCGCAGAAATTGGTAAATAGTTTTATCCAACAATCTTGCGATAGAAATCTTATTTTTCGGGATTATGTAGAATTTGTGCCGATAAAAGGGGTAGTGCCGAAAATAGGGACGTTTACCTTATCACGGCCGTTGCTGAACAATAAGAAACTGGAAAGGGCTAGATGGATAATTTTCTTTTTTGAGGGGCTGTCATACCATACCATAGCCCCACGGTACCCAATGGGTGCTTAGGCCTTAGGCCTTCGTGGTAGTTGGAGTATAAAAAAAATAAAAAAAAAATATGAGCCGACAAATTTGTTTTAGAGTATACTCTTAGTTAAGTTGCCTACCATTGCCTACCAAAGTGACAAACTAATACATCGGCGTACATCCTTTTCACTGGAAAGCATATTCAAGTAGCTATTCCTACTGGGTGTGTACTCACGTGAAGCAAGACAGAAATACTATATGTGTTCTGATGTGAATCGCCCACTTTTTGTTAATAAACAGGGATAGATTAAATAAGGAGGCAAAGGAACGGAAGTAAATATTTAATAATAGTACAGAATATGAACGATTCTGCTTGATTCGTAATTTTGGAAGGTGAGCAATATGAAACGTTATATCCATCAAACCTTACATACAGGGGCGAATTGCATGAATTTCACTCATTTTTTCCTAAAACGCAAATAACTAGAAGAAGGTATGGACATTTTTCCTATTATATCGTTGTCACTATAGTTATACAATAAAACATTTGAAAGTATTTTAATGAATTCAATTTTTGGGCATACGGAGCTTCATCCATAGAGTCTCGTGGCACTAAAACGAGGTCTTTAGGAGACTTACATAACGCGAAAGTACTTTTCCTCAGAACTTTTAGATTCAAAATTAAAGAAGATAAAGTATCATTTTGGTATAGTTAGACTAAAGCTTCGGTTGGCCCTTTTCAGTATTCATCAAAAATTGGGTATTGTCTTCCAATATTTTGCATTTGCAATGTTGTTGTTACATACAATGAGCCCTCGTAAAAGCCTAATGCTGAGGTACATGTCTTTTCGCAACGCCGATGATAATATATAACACATATATAAAGAGATTTGCTCGTATTCAGTTTAAACTGCTTTTTTACAGTCCATAGAAACCATTTTCGGCAAATGTCTGGAGCACTATGTGTATGGAACCCACACACTTTTAAATATTTAAACTGGTTGCTTAAGTCTGATTGGGTTGTAGTATGAACTTGCCTTCTGACTACTGACTGCACGAATTTGGTTACAAACAAATCGTATACTTACTACCCCTTCAGCCTAGTTGGAACTGGCTGATATGAGCGGATTCGATATTAAGACAGCACAAAGCCTCAAATGATAAATATTCTTCATTCACCCGGAATGCATTCCATTTTCCTCCTACCTGTTTCTCCGCCACAGATCCTAAGCCCTCTCTGGTATCGGATGACCGTCCATGGCTAACGGTCCCATTTACCACCAACTAGCGTCGTTTATTGATTCCAGACACAATGCAGTTAATACGGCAATGTCACACTTAATGATGAAGACAAGCGTAGAAAAAGCTGGATGTAGTTATGAAGGGGGAGCACTGCACTACACTGCGCAGACCCTTGTACGGAGGGTTGTAACTGAGGTAAGCCAGATTATGCCATCGGAGACCTGACATATGTTGCTTGTTAAGGGTTAAGTCAAGATATATCAGTTGGTTGTATCTGCTTTGTTATAAATTTTAGGGGTGGATATAAGGCTGGGGATTACATCATAAATTGAGTTGTGCGATCTGATATGATCGACGATGGGGTGTTCATGCCACTTTTCTGTTTGATGGGTGAAATAAAAAATGAAATCAATTTTCACAGATTAAATTTAATGGCAACGTTTTTACGCCTGTCGTGTAATGACAACCATTTAAAAAAATAGAAAAGTATACATTTTTCGTTATCTGACATTCAAATACCTAACTAAATGTAAAACACTTTCTCACACCTTTGATGATATACCAAGTGTTTCATATTCGACCCTCACCTTTAGGATTTCTGAAACGTTAAGAGATTCGAAATCACTTAAATAACGACAAACTTGAGTATTTAGGCAACTAACAAAATGCCGCTTATTAAGATTCGATATTCAGAAGTACTTCCAAAGAAAGTCGAAAGAAACCTAATTTCCTCAAAATCTTTTTCCTTAATTTATTTGTAACAAGATTTCATCATTAATCGCGCAATAACATTGTAACTTAATTCTTCTACAATTAGAATTTCAATGTGACATTGCGTCTATTTATTTTTCCTAATAGACGCCGTATTGTGTTTTTAAACAGATGAATAGAGTTTTTAATTTATACCAAAAGAGTATAATACTCATACATGCGTATTGAGAAACCATAGTTATTTAAAAAAATAGAATTTTCTAGGTAAGCCGTGAAGTTATCAGACATTTGTTTCGTATGACTTATGGCAAAATCGTTCTCTATATCCTGATTTACTTGAAATGGGATTTTAAAACAAATTGCATATTAGCAATGCCCTGTACAAAAAGGCGTAGTAGATTTCTCAATTGGACGGTTATGCTTTCGATCTCCATCATCAACTTTGTTCTTTCTTATGGACTCATATTGGAATTTTGCATAATCGAATACATTTTTTGATTCTCCATTTAGTTATGGATATGATATATCTGTTAATATTAGGATAAACTTCGCATATTCCATTAAAGTAATACAGCCTTAGTAGCAATGACAGTATGCAATTTATTTTGAAATCCCTGCTCAAATAAAATCAGAAAAAATAAAAATTTACTTTTTATGTAAATTATCATTTAGCACCAATTCTGTCCATCTTATTCTACCAAACCCACTGGCCTTCCTCCATTGTAGCTGCGGTAAAGGGAAAAACGCAGCAGAGGGCGAGTAACAATGATACCTTTTAAAAATTGCTAATGGTTGGCCAACTTTTTCAACAAATTGGCACAGTCATCGTACTTGATCCTCTCACTCTACAGTTTGTCAAAGTAAGGCGTGGGAGGATTTTAATAAAAATTCAGACTTTAGCATGAGATTTATGTGAGCTTTTCACCACCTCACAGTAAATAATACTGGATAGGATAAAA